GTAATTTAAAAGCAAGCTTTTCTTTGTAAAAACTTCAATTGAATTTCAATAAAGTTAAAGGCATGGCCTCATTGTTATTATTAAAAAAAAAAAAAAAAAATAGTTATCAAATAAAATCATTAAATTCTTATATTGCATCTTAATTGTTTTTACTATAAAAAACTCAATATTTATAACTTTCTACAATCAGCTTCATTACAAATTATTACAGATATATTCTTAAAACAAAATCAAAGCCATTTTCAAAAATTATTAGCTAATAAAGTATAATAAATTTAGCATAACATAGATAATTAATTTTATGATAAGATTCGTATTATGGCAACTGTTACTAATGATTAGGTTAGGATATCTGTAATGGTAGTCACACTAGCATGACTGGTAGGCCATGGGGCATTTGTGTAACAGGTCACATGATATTGTCCTTTGGGACAAGGTTGTGGTTATATGAAAGAATGCAAACTAGCAATTAGACAGTACAAACACTAGATAAGTCCTTGTAGCCATATAAATCTATTGAAATTGAATAACAAGAAATCCATTTGGGAAGATCTAAGTAGAGAGGTAGCCAGATCTTTAATGGCCCTATTGTAAAAGCTAGCTTTATGAAACAGATACTAAGGTCAAAGTAGCCAAACAGGCAAAAACCTCTAGCTAGGAGGTACCACCAACCAGGCCACCAGATTGAGCTAAAAGAAAAGGATATTAGACCAACCTAATATACTAATAAACTGGTCATAAGTTCTATCAGGCTATCTGGATTGAAAGTTTGGTGAACTAGCAGGGGTATACTAAAGTATTTTAAATATGTTGTGAAGTAGATGTTAGAGTTTGTGTGAACTTTACAAGGGCATAGCTATTTAATGATCAGCCCTGACTACAAGTGTTAGTTCTGCTATAGCAATATCTAGGTTAGCTGTAAAAATAGTTACAGAAGGCTCTGAGAGGTTTACCTTAAGGATAAATTAGTCCTAAGGTTGAGATGATGATTTGGGTATCTGAATAACCTAATGATGTTAATACAAGTTACAGATTCAAAGGGTTTGAAATAGAACATCTAAGCAGGGATATTAGATACGACAATTGATAAGGAATCTTCAGGCAGACTCCTTAAATAGGTAATATAGAAAAGTTATATATGTAACTAATTGTACACTCTCCTGTAGTAGTTCATTGAACCACAATACCAATAAATAATTAATAAAAGTCAAAAGACCAAAAAGGTCACCTTAATACCAAAAAAAAAAAAAAAGGTTTATTAGTAACATATATAAATTTTAAATAAAAATTTTGATATATCATACATAACTATATAAAAATGTTCTACATGCTCCTATCCTTAAATTGGTATATCTGTAAGTTTTAATTGTATTATTTTAAATAAAAGTTTGAAGTATTTATACAAAATATAATATTACATGTATATAGAAAAATATTAATAATTAATATTGCATAAAAATTTAGTACAAACTTATAATAAAACTACAGATATAAAATGCAAAAAAATTTAATAATTAGAATTCTATTTAGAAATTTCTAAATAAAGATATTGCATGTACTTTCATAGTACTGTTAAACTAATAAAAACTTATAAAATACTTTCAAAAGACAAATAGATAAACCAGATAACAAGATATATAAAAGAGCATATGATTAATTAGATTATTAAATTTGTCAAAAAAATATATATACTAAAATATATTATACTAAGCTATTTGGATTGGTAGTTTAAAAAATCTTATTAATTCTAAGTAATGATTAGTAAAAAATAATGAAGAAGACATTAGAAAGATAAGTACTAAAGTTTTAATAAACTTTACAAGAATAAAAATATAATATAGAGGGTGTGACAACTTAGTAAAGTGATCAGATTGTTAACCCTCAAGTAGCAGATCTAAAGTTCAAATTTCATGAACAATAAAATTTAAAAAATAGATCTATGTTATAGTAAGTGGCTCTGTTGATCAGTTGGATTAGTATATCTGTAATCTTCAGTTGCATTATTTTGAATAGGAGCTCAGAGCATCTATGCTAAATATAATGTTATATTTACATAGAGAAATGTTAATAATCAGTATTGTATAAAACTTCAATGCAAACTCATGATAAGACCATTAGGCACAGAAAACAAAGAAACTAAAGAGTCAGAAACCTATTTGGAAATTCTAAATAAAGAGATAACAAAACTTTTAATGATGATATCAGATTGATAAAAGCTTATAAAACATCTCTAAAAGAATAGATAGATAAATTGGATAACAAGATATGTAAAGAAGCATATGACCAATCAGGTTGCTGAAATTGTTAGAGGAAAGAATACTAAGATATATCATACTGGGCCATCGGGATTGAAAGTCTAGAAAGTCCTATCAGTTCTAAGTATTGATTAGTAGAAGATGATGAAGAAGACATCAGAAAGATAGATATCAGAGTTTTGGGTAAACCTTACAAGAATAAAAGTAGTTTAATAGTTAGCTCTAACTACAAGTAATAGTTTAGACCAAAATAATACCAGGTAAGCTATAAGTATAGAATATAAAATGCACTGATAGATTTAGTACAAAGTTAAATGTTTAAATAAAAATCCTACAGGTAGGTCCTAGGTATAGCAACTAGTATAGAACCTTCAGATAGACTATCTAAATTAGACAATGACTAAAGTTGTACAAGTAACTAGTTGTATACTCTTTTTATGATCACCTCTGCTATTACATCAACAGATACTGACCAACTAATACTATCAATAAAATCCTAGGTTGCATGTACTTATCTTAACATTAAAAAAAAAATAATATAATATAATGGTTTAATAAGAATATCTATAACTGTAAGTATTAATCTAACTATAACATATTACATAAAACTAGGTTAACTGTATATAAAATACAAAAATTTCTAGTAAATTTTCTGTTAAAAATAAAATAAGTCTAAAGATTTTGAATGCATCAAGTACTTTAGATGAGTGTAATCTTAAAAATATCACTATAATACAAGTTGGAATTACATATGCAGAAAGTTTAAATAAGCAAAACCTATAATTGACTTGCAAGTATGACATCTAGTATAAAATCTGTATAGTAATGTATAAGTGAATTACTTGTTCAAAAGAACTTAAATAAAAACATTATTTTTTAAAAACAAAAACTTCACTAAAAAAAAACCAATAAATAATATACTATGCTATGCTAATAATTTACTTTGTGACAATAAGTACAAATATAATTTATAAATCTATATAACACAAAATTAAACAAAAATTAATTTGCTTAAAGTTGAATTAAATTAAGGTTTAAGGTTGGGTTAAAATATAATTTATACTAAAATTTTTTGTTAAAACTTCAAAGGCTGTTTTATTAGTAAAATTTTAAATTATAGATAAACCTGTTTTATACACTACGTAGTATACGAATAGAAATTCTTATACTATTTTAATTATCTACAAATTTCATTACCGCATAACAAATTTTCTATAATCAATCAAAATCTTAATCTTTATACTTTAAATAACTTTTATGTTTAACGTTTTATTAACTCAAAAATTTCTTTAGTTTTAGCTGTCTTTTTATATTATATTGTACACAGTCTAATACGTATATGTATTTTACAGGAGTTTGTTATTATCATTATATATTACAAAATAATAATAGTACAGTAACGATCATAATAATAATAACGATAATTTTTACTCAAACTTCAATTATTATAAGTTAAAATACTGTATATTTTAAAGTTTATGGTATCAATTCTACGTGACATTCTTTTCAACAGACAATAAATAAAGAAATAATAATGTAAATGGAAATGATCAATCATACCTAAAACTGATATGAAATCTAAGTTATTTAATTTTTCAACACCATGTAAAAAACGGAGTATTCCCGCTCACGATTTCCAACCTTTCAATAAGGACTGGTTTAGTTTTTTTGCTCTCCATTGAAGCCTTATTTTTTTTACCGACATTATCGAGATGTAATTTTTCTTTAACGCGATTAATTCTTTCACTCCATTTCTGCTTGCTCGCAGAAATATTTGAGTGATACGAAGAAGCAGGAGCACTAGTAGATAAAGAAGACAGTCGTTCGGAGGAACCTTCTTCTGATAAGCTTCTTCTTGGAGCTATAGGTACACCATCAACTCCCGAAGAAGGAAGATCTACTTCCTCTTCCTCACCTACTGGTGATGGAATCCTATTAGATCCACTATGATCTCTATTAGCTCCGTCATTTGGATCTTCAGGAATCTCAATAACTTCCAACTCATCCCAAACCACGACATTACGGCGTGCACAAAGATCCTTAATACCTTTATCAGTCTGAATAAGGGTTTCTACAATATTCCACCCTTGACCTTTCAATACTGCAATCTGTTTTGCAAACATACCGTTATCAAAGTCCACATCCCTATGAAAATAACGTCGTAATTCAGATACAGTTTTTTTCCACCAATTTGGATTTGTAAGCAATGGAAGAAAATGATTTCTTGTATTAGCAGTGAAAGGTTGCCCTATCAGAGCATCAGGGAGGGACAGCCAGCCGTACGGATATGATCTCCATTGATCAGGATGTTTAAAAGGGAATGCTAATCCATTATCGATAGCTGCAACATGAATGTGTGGATATGGTATATTTGCATTAACATTGTCGACACTATTCAAAATAGAAGATGCAGATGGAGGAAGCTCAGTTGTTGTTGACTTAGAAGGTAATACTGATTGATCAGAGTCAAGATAATTTGTCGAGAGAGGATGCTGAATCTCATCTGTAGAAAGTTGTTGAGCATCCTTACTTGATTTAACAGAAGGTAACATTGTTATTGAATCAGGACTTTTTAAAGACGTTGAAGAATGTGTAGAATGGTTTGATAAAGCATCTGGTGTCTTCATAACTTTTGACTTTGGAGGGGTAGTTATCGCACAGTCATTTTCATCTTTATCACAATACTTGATCATCCAATTATCTAACCCTCGATCTAAGGGGGATAATTATATAAAATGATTGAATATAACAAAAGAAATTTAAATTAAGATAAAATTAAGATATATTACCAGTATTTCTCATTAAATAATCCAAAATGACTAATTTTTCAAATTGTTCCCTGAATTGAAGTTGCAATTCTGGAGTCCAAGAAAAACGTTTACCAAGTGGAGAAGACTCATATAGATCATTGTCATCATCCACCGTACTAGATTTTCCACACATAAATGAATTTAAAGATTTATTATGCCGTTCATTGCCCGTTATATCATTCACAGGACCATTACTTTCTGGCCATGGATGCTCTCTCAAAAAGATGTTAGCATCTTTGAAACCTTCCAAGTACACTTGAAAACTACCAATTTTTTCGGGTAAAGGTTTTGGATTTTTAGTTGAACGGGCAGCACGACGATCCAAATAATCATAATGAAATGAAGGAGAAGATAACCAAACGACCTCAGTGAGAGGAACGATATTCAAGTTTAAACGACGATCAAGAAGAGAAGCAGCAGCTTCTGAGACGTAACCAAGATTTGGAATTAAACTTATAGGAAGAGAGTAAATGAAGAATGAAAGACCATTTCTGATTGATAATTTAACGATTGGATTTGAAAAAATCAAGATTCATACCAACTTCTTCCAAAAAAGCAAGGAAACAAATTTCGATGAATCCATTTAGTCCATTTAGGATTAAGACGACCATAGGGTTCTTCGTTTTTCGGTTTGAAAACACCAACAATTTTTCCATCTGTATTACGACAGAAATAAGAACCGGATGAACCCTGTTTAATTCTGGCTGGTTGAACACCTGAATATATAGCAGCTTTTACAGAATTAACAATTTCGTTGAATAATTCAAGCGTAAGAGGTGGATGATGATTTGCAGTCAACGGATGAGAGCTAGGCTGTTTATGGGAATTCATCAACCAAAGTTTAATTTTACAATAATAAAGTTTGAATAAAGAATTGATACGCACGAACTTATTAGTAAATATACCTGTATATTTTCTAAATTAATTTGTCTGAAAACAGATTTATAAAGTTCTAGTTCTTTATTATGTAACCCCTTAGCAGACCCTTTAAACTTCAACTTTTTTGAAAATTGAGACCAAGCACTGCTACGACGACTACTGGAAATATCGTCGAGAATTTCTTCACTGTTCCTTCTACTTTCAAGCTCGTTACTTTGAGAGTTTTCCATTGCAGAGTTTGGAGGAAAAGACTTGTTCAAAGGTTGTCTTGTTTCAGATAAAGCACGCCTTTGGTAACGTGGTCTAGTAAATATGAAATCAGTATTACGATCATAAATGGATCGAGCAGTATCGAACAAGTAATCGTCTTGATCGAAAAAGTCCTCTTGTTGAAGCTTAACGTAACCGGACAAGGGATTATTATTTGACCTAATCATATGTAAAATTATTTAAAGATATATGTAAAGGGGGATGAAAGTAACTTAATGGTTGAATAACGATATAGCGATTATTCAGTAGCTAAAATAATACTGTAGGTAGAAGACTACTGAACATACCGATAATTCAAGATACTCAACGAACAAAATTAAAATGTTAAGTACCAGAAACGGTAATTTTTGATTTGCATTAGATGCAGGGACGCATACTGATAACTTTTATAGAATGATTAACGTCAATCAACGTCAGAAAGGCATATATAATATTGATTCCACAACTACGGACCGAATTATTCCGAAAATTGTTTAAGAACAATCGAAAATTTTTGCAATGTAAACAAAAACAGATAAGAAGCCCACGTGGCTTCGAAGGGCTTGTAAGTTTTCCTAGTGTTTGATAACTGTCGTTATGATATAATTTCATATTCACGTGAAAAACGCGATGCCCATTGTATTAAGCTAAAACTAAGAAATGAATCTTTTAATTGCCAATTAGAGTTAGTATTCTTTGTTAAAGATGTGTTTAAAGCGAATAATTATAGAGGATTCTGTATTTTGAGTTGCAAGAATTTCCTAACCTCATTACCTATATATAGAACCTCAAGTATTTTGTTCTTTGTATTTTGTTCTTTTAATGTTAAATGCAGATTGTCACTAATACATACAATACGATCAAATTTGGAAATCGAATCTGTAATCATATCTCGAAACCTAATTGGCGTTCGATAATCTTTATAAAGATTTTTCATAAAGAATAGCTATTAAAATACTTTTCAAGTTTGTAGTCTCAAAATTCACGAAGAGCTACGAAAATTGTAAAGTAGTTTTGTGATAACTTAAATTTAATTGGTTTACATATATAGCATATATAGTGGTTTTTTTTAGTATAATTAATAGGTTTGGGTGTATAGTTAATATTTGTTAAAATCCCAAAAGTAAAATTTTGAATTATTATCTAGTATATAGTTGTATTTCTTTATAATCACTCAGTTTGTTCTATATATATATAAAAAAACATATGAATTTAAAAAATATATACAGTATCTATATATATAAAGTTAATTGACATGCACGTGATATTGTCACATGTACGAAATGAGAATAACTACGTATCAACTAGCGATGCCAACTTAATTAATTTTAATAAACAAAATAATTTTCAACTCAAAAATATTTTATTTATGATAATTGCTAAAATTGCAAGATATCATAATTAAATTTTGTATTATAAATTCTAAAATACGTAACGTAGAATGATGCTAAAATACGTAACATAGGATGATGTAATAAAAAAGTTTAATTAACTATTATAAGTTCAATTAGCTTTGTTATTGTGATAATAAATTCTTGAATTTAAACATAATAATAAAATATTTGAATTCGAATATAACCTAGTTTTTTAATATGATTAAAGAATTGAATTTATATTCAAAGTATCATTACAAGCTGACATATATTCTGAAGAAGTTATGTTAATAAATACAGAACAAGATCAACTTAGTAATCATAAATATAAAAATATTAGTCGATCAAGAAAACAAATTTGAAAGTATTATATAACCAGTAGCAATATCAGTTCTTATAGTGCATCTTGTTATTATTGTCCAAAGTCTTGGAATTGTGAATGTTTTGATGAAATAAAAGCTTATTTTGTTAATATTTGTCTTGATGTTTTTGAGAATATTAAAAAATATTAACAAGAATTATTTTTTAAGAAAGTTATTAATTATAAAAAAATAAATCATTTTAAATTAAATCAATTGAATATAAATAATGAGTTAGATAAAATATTACTGGTATATATGTAAATAAAAGAAAATTGACAAAGTTATTTTAAAAGTATAGATTATAGCAAAAATCCTATTTGAAATTATTAATAATTTATTTATCATTAATTTATTTAAATAGTTAAATACATCATATACACTACCAAGTTATATAACACTTTCAAGTAAATTATTAAAACAAAAAATTATAGAAATTAATTATAAAGTTAATTCTAAATTAGAAAAATGCAACTATTTAATTTTTGTACTTGATAGATAATCTTTGTCAATAGAATTTACTTTATAATTTTATAATTTTAACTATGAATCATTATAAATATCTTGTTACACTTAAAGATTATTCTAAAAATTCACAAACTGGAGTATTTATAATGAATAAGATTAAAACTATTATTAAAACTATTAAAACAAATAAATTTGCAAGAATAGTAATAAATAATAGTAGCAATATTAGGGTTGTTTATCAAATTATTAATTATAAATACTTATATATTTTAAATATTTATTGTATTACTTATTTACTGAATCTAATTGTGATAGATTTAATAAAAATTTTATATATAGACAAGTTTATTTCTCAAAACCATAAAATAATAAAATTTTTTACTATGCAAATATACTATTAAAAGAAGAATTAACAAAAATGTAAATTAAAAATGATAACTTAAAATCATATACTAAAACCTGTTAGTGTTCTTTCTGAAATATATTAAATTTAATGTTATAAGCATATTCTATATTTGATTAGACAATTATTTTAAATTTTATATATATTAGTATAATAATATATATATTAATATAAAATATTATTATTAATCTATTTATTAAATTAATTTATTATATAATATAAATTAAACATAAACATTTAAATATATTAACCAAAGGGTGTAATAACCTAGTGAAGTAGTCAGATTGTCAATCTTTCTAAGTAGTAAATTGGATATTCAAATCTTATTAATAACAAAAAATTTGAATAATTATTTATATAATACTTATATTATAATAACTGTTATTAATAATTAGGTTAAAATATTTGTAATAGCAGTTGCACTAATATAACTGACAAATTGTAGAGCATCTGTGTAAATATAGCATTGCATAGAGAAATATAAACTGACAATTGAACAATGCAAATACTAGATAAGTTCTTGTGACTATATAAATCTATTGAAATTGTGTAATAAGAAGTTTATTTAAAAAGGTTTAAGTAATAAGATAGCCAAATCTTTAATAGCCCTATTGTAAAAGTTAGCTTTATAAAATAAATACCAAGATCATAATACCTAAACAAACAAAAATTTTTGAATTAAAAGTTTTAGAGATATTACTAATCAGATTATCAGAATTAACTAGAAAAAAAAAATATTAGACTGATCTAATATACTAATAAACTAGTCATAGTTTTATATAGACTATTAAGATTAGAAGTTTAATAAAAAAACAGAAGTATTTTGAATATGCTATAAAGTAGATGCTAAGGTCTGTGTAAACTCTACAAAAGCATAGTAGTTTAATAGTTAAGACCTAATTACAAATGTTAATTCTTTTTTTTTTGCTTACGCTAAGGCTTTTTAGTTATGGCAGCTATTGCCTTTATTGTGAATTCAATTATGATTACATAACTTGTACAAGGTTACCCCTATATTGCACTAGCAGATAGCAGCACAAGCTCCTGTACACCTAATTAGATGCCATCTAACCTAACCTTGACCTTCCTGTCAGTATGTCTGTTAGGCCATTACACATTTCGGAGTACATCACCTGACTATAGGGCTCTAGGGGGCCCTCTTGCTAACTAGCTACCCATATTTAATCTTTGCTAATAGGGCTTCGCCCTTGCAGAGTTTACCCAGACCCCAGCACTGACTTCACAGCATATCCCTAGTACTTTAGTATACCCCTGTTTCTGACCTCAAACTCCCAATCCAGATAGCCTGGTAGGACTATGACCTGTTCCTGGTACTTCAGGGTCTGCCCTCCAAGGTCCTTTTCCTCCGGTTCGAGTTATCCGGTGGCCTGGTTGGTGGTACTCTTTACCGAGGTTCTTGCCTGTCCGATTTTTTCCACATTGGTATCCATTTTCTAGATCTAGCCTTTACAGTAGTACTGTCGAAGATCTGTGTTACCTCTCTACTCGGGTCTTCCCAAGTGGGCTTCGGTTATCCCAGTTCACAGATTTACATGGCCACAGATGCCTCATGACCTGCCAGTTATCTGATGTGACTGTGTTATAGGTACTGATCCCAACTGATCGATAGATAGCCGTTGTTGTATTACTGGTTTCAAGGACTTACCTTGTGTTTGCACCACCCAATGCCGGTTTGCATTCCTCTGTGTAACTCCAACATTGCACAGATGCCCGTATACACCGATGTAATATAGGTGGTTTTCCAAATTTTTCGTCATCAGTGGGTTTTGAACTCCCAACCTACCACTTGGAGGGTTGACAACTTATCTACTTTACTAAGTCGCCATACTCTTACAATGTTAATTCTAATATAGTAATACTAAGTTAGTTCTAAAAATGAATACAAAAGACTTTAAAAGGTTTATCTTAAGAATAAAATAGTTTTAAGATTAAAATAATAATCTAAGCATCTGGATATAACTTAGTGATGTTAACACAAGTTGCAGATTTAGAAAAATTAAGTGAAATATTCAAGCAGAGATGTTAAATACAACAATTAATAGAGAACTTTTGAGCAAACTTCTTAAATAGGTAATATAAAAAAGTTATATATCTAGCTAAGTATATACTCTCTTATAGTAGTTCATAAAATTATATTATTAAAAAAAGTTATAATACCAATATATATATATATATATATTAACTAATTAAAATATATTTAATTGTATCAGCAATAAAGATTTTTTTTAAATATATAAAATGGTATTAAAAATCTTTAACTCTATTAAGAAAACTATTAATATTATAAAATCAAAAACAGCAATAATGTCAGATTGTTTTATTGAATTTATTTTTTTATTTTATTTTATTTTATTTTTTTTTGTTAAAGGCTATACTTGTGGTGATACTTTATTGACTTTATATCATGTTAGCTATTACAACTATTTTTACAGAGATAAGAGTATAGCTAGTCATGCATGCAACTTTTGGTTGCCTATTTAAGTAGTCCACCTTAAGGTTTTACACTAGATGCTGTACCTATAACCTACTAGGAGATTATCCATTTAAACCCTCTGATTATCTGC